TKTKTGTCTGCCCGAAGGCTATGTGCGCTCTGTGTAAGTGTATAGTGAGATGTATGTGCCCGAAGGCCAGATATGTGTAGTACTATGTAGAGGGARCTATGTGTTCATTGAAGAGATGACAGCCCAAGCTGGACAAGAAYCCCCCCAAAGTCGCAAGCCAGACCTARAGAACCRGGAGAATCCTTACGTCTTCCAGAAGGAAGATTGTTGCATGCGATATTTGGAACAGMACCCATGATCTATGCCATGTCACTGGAAGACTCTATCATATGAGCAACARTCGCAAACGGCACCTGTGTGTGATATGCCAGACTGGGGAGATCAACAGAACAACCACAAGCAACAGCRACAAGCAACCCACGCAGTATCAAGACCCGACATAGAACACCGTRGACAACCCTTGGGTGGTGCACAGGCAGTGTMTGTAATAGGTTACCATGGACAACCCTTGGGTGGTGCATAGGCAGTGTCTGTAATAGCTTACCATGYGTCTGTGTGTGTCCAGGGGTGCGTAATTCTAACGGCCTGCTGGTGTCCATGTGCAAGGCTGCCTATTTGAATCCGCAACCTCATACCACTATGCGTATTTCCAACCGGTACTTACCTACAACTACTCATAAGGCTTATACAGGGGACCCCTGCAAACATAGCTTTGTTGTCTCCCTCCAGCCATCAGAGGGGATGCATGTCGGCCCCCGCCCCAATCATGGTGTGCAAGTGGCTTCGCCTCCTTTTTCACCGTGTCCGGGTGGGGGACGATAGAAAGTTTTTGTAGCGGGGGGCTTATGCCAAGTTTTTCCAGCCGGCATTGCTGTGCGGTGCAGGCCTAACGGCAGCCTCTCGTGTAGGCTTGGCGCCAAACACCRGGTTCCGCTTTTGCGCACGGTGCTGACATGGGAACACTTGGCGCGGTGAGAAACTCGCTGGCGGGAACTGCGGACAACTCGACACGGCCTCACACTGCGAAGGATGATCTGAGCTGGCCCTCGGGAGTTTTAGCGCGACTTCGGGCTCGGCTCATTTTTGGACGTTTTCAGGACCAGGTGCATTCGGACGAGTCGAAGTCTCTGAATGAACTGTGCCCAGGAAGAGTCCAAATGCATGTGGAGTATTGTATAGTGGAGCCAGGCCCTTCTCGTCCCCAGGAATTTGAGCGCGCCCGCAGTGGTTTGCGGCTTCTCAAGGACGCTCCGAATCCATTCGCGCGGAGCGACACGTTGCTGCGAACCGCCGCGCGGCTTCTCGTCSCTGCCATTTCTCCCCACCGCGYCAAATTTTCTYGCTGTGAAGTCCCCCCTTTTCTCCCCACCGCGCCAAACTTCAGCGGTACAGCTTCGGTGCCGGGGCAAGGTACGACTGCCCGGATCTGGACGTGCTTTGGGAGACGTTCAGAGAACTGCTCTTCATCTGCTCTCCTGCATCTGTCCCTAAAGCCAACCCAGATTCTGAAGCCTAATCCCGCCCTCTTCGCTAACGGGACCTCGCCTCCGAGCCGGCCAACGTGTCACGGCCTCACCCCGCCAAGGACGGTGGGAGCCCAAATGGGCTCTGAATCCCGGGAAAAAATAAAGAAAAAGAAAAAGATGTTTGAAAAAAAAAAACCCGTATTTTTTAAAAAAGTTTTTTGGATTGTTCTTCCTTTCGGCGCGAAAAATGGCGGCAGGCGGCGGGGGGGCTTGTGCGGGGTCGAAATTCCCGTAATTCCCGTAATTCCCGTAACGACGACTGGCAGATCCTGACCGTGGATCAAACCTATCGACGGTTATCGTCTCTCGATCTGCGCTAGATCTAGACTCCGCCCTTCGCAGAGTTTGGCAGTCAGAACGACTGTCGAAAAAAAAAGAAAGTGAACAGAGAAGCGCGGGGCTTTTGTGCAATGATTCAGAGGACAACGGATCTAGGAGGAGAATACGGCGGGTACAAAACCAAGTGTGTGGAAAGGGACGTCACGAAGTTGATCTATTTCTCATTGCAAGTTGCTTGTGTTGTCTTCCTCCCCGTCCTAGCATCTCTCACTTCGCTGCAAGCGCCATAGCTTAGCAGCAACTTCTTTCCTCTTTCGTCCTTGCGAGTCGTGCATCCGGGAGGACTACTCTTAGCCGAGAAGATGGCGGCGGCACGCAGTGCGTTTTTGGTGATGGTGGTGTTGGTAGCGTCGGTCTTCGCTACCGCTAGCGCGGCCGATCTCTTTGGCACTCTCCAGAGCGATCAACGGTTCAAGGTCGTGGTGAAGGCCCTCCTCGACACACAGGAAGTCGACGCTCTCAGAGATCGATCCAACGGATCAGTKCCGTTCGTCTTCATCGCGCAGACTGATGAGGACCTCGAAGTGGGCCTCGGAGCTGATGGCCTGGCGTGCGTCACCCGGCCGGAGCACGTGAAGGACCATATGGTGCAGATTCTGCGATTCATGGAGGTGGGYCCCTTGTCGCGTCCGGTGAMGACSRCAGCGGATCTGYMSKCSGTTGCAGTCGACRRSAAACTGCCGACCATCAACGGCATGCCGATATTCGTGGAGCCGGCGACGGCAAGCGGAGTCATCCTCAGGGGCGATGCTGAGCAAGAGCAGTTCTCCGTAACGGTAGCGGAGGTGAGGCAGATCAACGCGAACGTGTCTCTGGTCATCGTTGCGAACGGTTTCCTTGTCCCCGCTCAAGTCGACGAGCAAATCACGATGGCCTGCTTCCCGTCCGCAGCRTCGTCGTCCTCCCCCGCAGTTCCCGTCGCCCCGTCATCGAAGAATGTCCCGAAGTCGAAGAACGCCCCGTCATCCAAGGCTGCAGAGTCCGCTCCTTCATCTTCGCAATCCGCGCGTAGACAGATGCTCCGTGGCTTCTGGTGGTGAGAGAGAGAGAGAGAGAGAGAGAGAGAGAGAGAGAGAGAGATGGTGACGAATTAGGGAACTCACTTGATGGGAGGGTAGTTTTGGTGATTCTGCAAACGTATTCTGATCTATTTCCTGMACCGGAGTAATYACTCGTATAGGTAGATGAAAARATAAATCCGATTGCTTTCTCTCGCGCGAGTGTCCCATCGTTAGGTCGCGTTCTGCGCTGACCGTCGATGGAGTCTCGAGATTGTGTTCGATGGGACGCCGCGTAACGGGATGCTTCAATAACCGGGACGGCAATGATCAAGCAATTTTCAAGAAGCCCTACGGGTTTCGATGTGTGAATATTTGGATCGAGGAGCGAAGAAGCGAAGAAGCGAAGAAGCGAAGAAATTACAGCTAGAAGAGTGGCGATGCCTGTTGTCTTCGTTTTGTCGTCCTCCTTGCGCGTGAGGCTGCGAGGTTTCATTCAGAGTATATCCAGGGCATGCTCCTCTGATGTTTCTTTTTTTTTTCTGGATGTATTTAATTCGACGCGATTACGATCGCAGTTTGTTCAAAACGTCTTCTCTTCGAGAATGTAGTCGTTATGCCGTGTGCTTTTCTTCTCGCGAATAAAACTCTTGTTCACTCACAAAAGTCATGGACTTTTTTTTTTTTTTTTTTTTTTTTTTTGCGCCTTTCCCCAATCCCCTCGCAACCCCCTTTTCTTCTTTAGTTTTCTAAAGGCCCAACCAATTCATTGTTGCTTCTCGTTTCCCTGAATGACAATACAATCAGAGTCGTTTATGAATGACATTCTGTTCTTTGTCTTCTTAGTATACCTTTTCGACCACAAGAGCTCAAATTTTATGTTCCATCCATTCCATCCGTTTACTCCTCGCGGACCTCCATTATTTCTGTCAAGGTCATCACCATTTTGTAATCCGTTTTCGTTTTTTTTTTTTTTTTTGCCTTTGGAAAAGGCATAATCTCTTGTACTTCACTTGCGATATATATATATATATATATTCTCCTTTAACTCAACTGTTTGATCCTTTTTGTCTTTTTTTTTTTCTTTTCAGTGTAATCGCTCCCTTTTTGTCGAGTCTCTTCCTGTTTTTTTTTGTTTTTTTTTGTTTTTTTCAGCGTAATGGCTTCATTATCACGTTGATTACGACTTCCCTGTCTGTCTGCTGTTCACGGTCATCAGCAATTTTTTTCTTTTTTTTTGTCCCTCTTTCGCAGGGATTTTTTTATATGCTCAATATCCGTTTCAAATGTGCAAAAATTTATATTCACTGTTTAAACTCTACTCGTTCTCTATGTAACTCACTATTTGATTCATGATTTCATTACTCTCTGCTTGGGTCACTATATAATTCACTATTTAATTCTCTACTTCAATATTCGCTATTTAATTCACTATTTCATTAGCATTTGGGCACTGTTTACTCTCTATTGAATCCAGTATTGAATCAATATATAGTCATTATTTAATCATGTTTAATCACTATATAGTAGTTCTGAAAAATCTCGAGGAGGGCACCCGGAGAATCCAGTATTTCATCTTTATTTAGTGATCCCGAATTTCCTGTATGGGGTGTGAGTGGTTGGAATGTCCTGCGGAGGTCTTCTTTTATTTCCTTGCGCTCAGCCTTCTCTCTTTCCTTTTTGGGTGCGTTCTTCTCCGCGCTTGCTCCAGGATGAGGGTCTGATATCTCCGGAGGCCGTCGGGATCGCAATACTCGTCGGATTGGGCGGGTATGAAATGTGCGAACAGTGTCTGAAATCAACATCCGGAATAGAAACGCAATTGTTTTCGTATTTATCTGAGATATATACAATTATAATTATGATAATGATGAGATCATAACAATGTACCTTAGCGTAAGGGTGTGGTTGCATCACGCGCCATCTGCCAAGAGTTTTAAGTCGATCTGGAYGGACCGAACATCCAGATTCATTCGAAATGTTGGCGGATGGCGAGTGGTTCAACTACTAGGCCCTGATGCATAATCAGGAGTAAGGAGTCATGCAGGGKGGCATTTCCTAACATCAGCTGAACCGTAGGAGGGCCTTCACGGAATAGATAGATCACGGTCATTATAACTGTATTTCTCCAACATATAGACTAGATACAGCCGTTCGTTCTATTATTGGGATAAAGACTGTAAGGGACMTTCCCCTGAGGRGGAAGCTGCCCTTTATCCGGTCTTCTGTTGGGGGAAAAACAAAACAAAATGAAGATCAGATGGGACGTTCTATTGTTTTAAAAACAAGGCATTTCCTTTTTCTCACATTGCATCGAAGAGTTGCGCGTGCTATTATTCTTTTATCATTGCCTCTGGGGAATCTCATTATCTCAGGGGTACTTTTCGATTTTCTTCAATAATTATTGCCAATCGGTTCACGATGTTTCACGAAATTACTCAGAGAATCGATCTACTTTCGATCCTCTACGTCTGGGCGTTGGGCTTCCTCTCCCCGGCAAGAACAGTCTACGGGTATGTTTACGCTTTCCTCTTTTTTTTTTTCTTTTTTTTTTTTTGTAGGTACGCAATGATGTAAGACTCCTCTCCAAAGAAGAGTTTAGTGGTTTATTTCTTACTTGCGTTGTTCGGATTCGAGGACTGAGGGCTGTGCGTGCCCCGCTGGCTTATCTCTGGCTTCGAGYGTCCAGGACCTGCTTGTGAGTGTTTTTTCAATGCGGTCACACTGGCAGTGCCTCACTTGCGCTGGCTTATCTCTGGMTTCGAGTGTTTTTCGACGTGGCCACACACACAGTGGCCSTGCGATTTTCAGATCGGATGGCATGGCACAGTGATGGCACCCGTGGATGCTGGAAACCAGAATTAAACCTCCTYAAGAGGGGTACGTTTCTGGGTCTAGAGATTGTGGATTGAAGAGTGTGTGCTAGACGATTTTTCACCGATTCGCTAATCGATGCCCTACGGCCCGGACCTCATCTGTGTCTAGTTTCCATCGTCGTGCCGTAGACGGCTTTCCTCCGTTTGCCTCCGTYAGCTGTTCACTTCCCTACTCGATTTGCCTCCGTTTGCAGTCCACGGCTTTCCAGAGCCTCACTTTGCTCCTCCGTTTGGCTCCGTGCGCTGTCCAGAGCTTTTTTTCTCCTTTTGCCTCCGTTTGCTRTCTCGGGGTTTCGTCCGTTAGTCTCCGTTCCCTGTCCTTTTGCCTCCGTTTGCTGTCGAGGTCATTCTTTCATCACCATCCCTAATTCTCTCAGGTACCAGTGTCCCCTTTTCTTGAATGTGCCTGCCTACAAATACTCGCTAGGCTCACAGTAGTTTCTTGTGTTTTCCGTTTTCTTTTTCATTCTTGTACTTCCCAAAACCATGCCTGCTTCAGCGGACGCTGCCTATTGGTTTTGATCATATGCGGCCAGGTCCCATTAGCAAACAAGATTGGGTTCAATCCCCATTGGCCTCATGTACCTTCCTGGGCATGCCGTTGGTCCCCCCGAGTGGCATTGAGCAGAGACTGCTGATGCTCACAGGGGGAGGGAACCGGAGGGGAGGCACAGTGACTGGCCCATCGAAGCAACTCTGTCCTGATGCTACCGGCTTGGAAAAAAAAAAAAAAAAAAAAAAAAAAGTATTTAGCGTCTGAATCTGGAGGCATGTAATGCAGAGATGCACGAATTTCCCAAAAAAAAAAAAAAAGAAGAGATGCAGGAATCGTGAATGGTCGTGCCTGTTTTTTTTTCTTTTTTCTTTTTTCTATTTTTCTTTTTTTGAACCCATGTACCCCCTTGGCCTTGGCCTCGTCCTCCTTGCGGCCTCCCTCCAGCCGCGACAGCAGCGTAAGTCCTCCCCTCGTCCACACTACTGTCCTCCTCCTCGAACCCCCACTCAATCTGGWCGTAGGGGATCTCGTCCACACTACCCTCATCTAAAGTGAGCACAAGGCTATCCTGGTCTTGACCTGCCCTGAGRTAGTGCGGCCCTTCCACTTTTTGCCCTTGTCTAAATCTTTGTGCCAGAAGGTGGAAATCGACGCAGACTTCGCCTCGAACGCGGYCACTTCCCTGCTAAGTATATCRTAAGTCATAGCAGGGTCCTGACTCTTGTCAAAGAAGTGACCACGCAGCGTTTCGGGCATAGCCCGGTAGAAAAGGTTGGCCWAYTGGGTTTCTGTGACCTTGTGGTCAGGAACAGCCACCAACTMATCCATTGTGCCCTTGAGTGCCCTTGYACTCTTCCATTGGCGCGAGTGTATTGTCTGAAGCCTATCCGAGGCTTTGACACTACGGGCAACATCAGCGAATCGCTCGCGCAGCAGCTTGAAGAATTCAACGAGGGACGTAAACGAGGAGTACGCAACTGGATCATCACTACAGTTGGCAGCACGAACAAGGGATCTCGCGAAACYGGCGGCCTCATCTCTAAGTGCATGGATCGCAATTAAGACCTGCTGATACGGGGAGACCTGTTGCAAATGCACATAGGTCTTAACATTGGCCTCCCAATTGTCAAAGTTCTCTTCCCTTTTCCCAYTGTAGGAATCAGGRAATTTGACTTTGACTGGCTCCCTGCGAGGAMGGGCCTCCTCCTCCTTGGGAGCGGCCACCTTGACGCCTTCGATGGTGCCGACACAAAAACGCTCAGTCTTCTCGAGGCGATGACTCACCTCGGAT